TTATTTAGAACCGTGTGCAAGAGCTTCAGATGACTCTCCATATTTTTGCTCGTCAAGAGTACGTCATCCGCGTAAATAGATACGCCGGGTATATCACCAAGTACCCGATGCATGACTAAGTGCAAAAAATAGGATGATTGGGCACAGCCCATGGGCATTCGCTGTGGATAATATGTCTTTCCCAGCGCGTAAAATGCGCAAATCTTTTGAGATTCCTCGGACAAACGGAGGTTCCAAAAAGCATGTTTTATGTCTAACGAGCTTGCGACATTCCACCCCTCTAATGAATGTAAAAATTCATCGATGTTCGGCAGAACGAACTTTTTCGGTAGCAAATTCTTGTTGATGTCCCGCATGTCCTGCACGATACGAAACTCGCGTGACTTCCCTTTCGGAACCAGAATGACTGGAGAGTTCCAATCACTCGTTTCGCCTACGGCAATGACACCGCTAGCCTGCAACTCATCAAGCTGTTCCTTCAGTGCCTGTTCCTTAGCCCAGGGAACCGGATATGGTTTTGAAAACTGGGGCTTGGTGCCTGGTGCTAGCTCTAAATCTACGTCACCCTTATTGTAGCATCCCACGTCTGCGTAGCTGGTGGCGAAAACCCCAGAAAACGACTGTAGTAGAGAGGCCATCTTTTCACGAGACGATCCCGTCACCTGATCACCCACTGCGAAGTGAGTCAGAATTTCATCCGTGTCCGAACCGAGAAACTGTGCATCATTGCTAGACACGGCATTTGTCTCCGGCGTGTCAGTGGGCGTGTCACGGGGAATAGCATCGGCCACATCTGCGCCATCTAAAGGCTGCAAATAGCCGACTACATCCCGCCTACGGAGTGTCACGAAACGGTCCGACCTGTTCCTCACCACTAGCGGAATTTCGTGAGACGAGTACGGTTTGACAAGCGTGTCTCTAAATTCGATTGGTGCAGCGTGAACACCGCTAAAGACATACTCTGTATCCACGGAAAGTTCTTGGTCAGTACGTACACAGAGACAAGACACGGATCTGGGTGGCACACGCACCGGCTTTTTCAATCTGATCTTTACCTGATTCACCGCGTCGGAACAATCGAACACTACATGATTCGCTCTCAAAAAATCCCAGCCAAATATACAACCATGGGAAAGATTCTCAACAACAGTGAAAACAAAACACTCGTCCTGCCCTCCCCCATCTGCATCGATTTTCACGGGCAGACTGCACGTCCCCAGGGCATGAAGATGATGACCAGATGCCGAAATCAGGGTGGTAGCTGGCTTGAGCTCCGCCCGCGGTGCGATAATGTTAAACACCCGGCTGTCTATGAGACTTTTCTGGCTACCTGAGTCTAAGAGACAATCATTAATGATGAAACCGTTTATTGAGGCCCTGGTAACTGGCAAGGAAACTAATCCCACCTTGTGCGTCTGCCCGCGTACTCGTTTGGGCACTGTCGTTTTATATGCCCCACTCCTCCACACGACCAACAGCGAACGGTACCTGATCTCCGTCCCTCGACTGGGTACCGTGGTTCCTGCGTCTCGGCTCGCCGATCGGGCGGCGCCCGTTTACGACTTCCGTCCCTGGGCCGGTCACGATGTCCCTGCCCGCCGTCAGACGAGTCCGATGAGTCGCCGCCCGTAGGTGACGTGTTGCGTCCCATCCCAGGTCGGCCGAACCGGCGCGACGGCGTCCAGCTGCGACCGCTCGTACCCGTCGTCTGTCGCCGGTCGTCCCGCCGCCGGTCGTCCCGCCGCCGCGGCGAAACTGAGCTACCTCGATGCATAGGTCCACCAGCTTCAGCGGCCGGTGAGCTCGAGCGCCTGCGGCGCCATCCGTCTGTCGGTTGGCGGTACCACCTGTCGGCGCCGCCCGGTTGTCGGTCTGGACTGTCCACCGGAGTATCACGAGGTTCATCGCGTCCTGGAGAGCCCGACCACCCGGAACGTCCCGGCTCACGCCCAGGGCTGTCCAGGCTGTGCCAGCGGACACGATGTGCGGTCACGGCGTTGGACGCCCCCTCCGACTGAAGACCCTCCTCCCGGGTCAGCTCCGTCAGGCATTCGTCAAAAGTAGTAGCCTTCAGGCGAGAGAGAAGGCGCTTCTCCTCCACCGTGAGCCCAATCAAAAAGTGTCTGTATAGAGCTGCACTGTAAGATGGCACGCATGTTTTCTTCAACTGACCTCCATCACCGAAAAACTCGGGACACGCCTGCCGCCCCAGTTGCTTGACCCTGAGTCCGTAGTCCTGGGCGGAGAGGCTGCCTTTCACCAGAGAGGACAGATTCTGTGCTGCTTGCTCCACAGACCTGTCCGCGTCACCAAAGTGAGCATGAAGCTGCGTTTTGATTGCAGCCCAGGACAGTTTATCCCCGTAGTCCTCAATATCATTGATCACCGCTAGCGCCCGGCCACGGCACTTAGCCGCAACGATCACACAGAGTTGATCATCGGAGATCTTGCCAAGCGAGGCCAGTCTCGTGCACTGTCTCAGAAACCCGTCCGGTGGTGACGAGCCGTCATAACCGGGAAAGTCACTGACCGAAACACTGATCTCGGCCATCGCAACTTGCTGCCGCGGGGTTCAGACACCCGGCTGCCACCATGTCACGGTGTGACTCGATTTGGCCCGACACCACTCCGCCACGGCACGGCGATCCAAACACCGCGGTCGCCAGTACCGAACTGTCTTTCCGTGACATGACCCTCTGCGCCGGCCGGCACAGTGGCGCAGAGGCGCACACAGGGACCGGACAGCGGAGCGGCGCAGAGGCGCACACAGGGACCTGACAGCGTGGAAATCCAGGACCCCCAGCCGGGCGCGGGTTAAATTCTCGAGTAAAGCGGGTATTTAAGCCTCGTCGTAGCTACGTTCTGTCGTAGCTCCGACAAACCCCTCTTTCCTCAACATCCCTCCTTTTTCGCTACGACACAACTTGCGACGGGACATGTGTCGTAACTTGCGACGTGCCGTAGGTGGACTTGCGAAAGTTTCTCCTTTGTTCGTCATTAAGTTTATTCCTAATATTAGCTGCCAAATATTCCGATTGTTCATTATTTTGAGCCACTCTAGGTGTAGGTATATCGCTTACTGAGGTGTTGACTAAATTTAGAGATAATATCTTTTTTCTCACATAAATGTCATCTCCGTGCCATAAAGGGACACTCCCACCTTAACATTAGTTTTGAGTTGAGATAGCCAAATTGGTGGCCATGGCCTGCAAATACCGGTTTGGGCACTCACAACATCGAAAAATGCTTTAATTCGAAGATATGAAATTTCAAACTTGCAGTTTTCGGATTCTAAGGGGCTAATGCATTGGAATGCCCCCTTAGAATTTGTGACGTCAGCGGAGATCTAACGATTTTTAAATCTTAGACTAAAACCATCGTTAACACGTGGTGGTATACGCTGCTTTGCGCGCAACGTCTGCCGCACTTTAAGGCTGCCAAATTATTGCTTCCAAATAAAGTCGCTAGTAACAGGGGAGATCCCAAAAAGTAAACAAAAGTAAAAGCCTAATATCTTGAAAACCAGTGAATATTTTTCGGTGAAATTTGGTAGATATTCGTTTTCGCTCTTTCTGAACCAAGGGACATCACTTTCATGCCAATTCATTAACTTTTTTGAAGGTGGGAGGGTCCTTTTAATGTCTGGATAGATTTGCGCTTCGAGTAACCTTTTTCAAGTGAAAGGAAAAATTTGGAACACTTCTCGCCTTCCTCGTACCATCGTACCCTTGATCTCGTTATCAATCCTTTGATCTTGGGTTCTCGAATCCTCTCTAGTTCCGTTTGTGCTAAGCTAATGCGAGATTTTCTGAGTCTATTTCTTCGCCGCTTGCTGCAAAAATAGTTCGTAGTTGGTTAACCTTTGCTATGGCCGCGCATTCTTCCTCCCTACGTTTCCCAGCTTTTCGCTTAGAATATTGGACCGTTTCTCCCCTTACCATCATCAGGAGTGTTTCATAAAAAAGCTTAATATCAATGCCAAAAGCTATTTCGCCGAAATTTAAAGGGACTATCCCACCTTTAACATGGGGTTTGAGTTGAGATAGCCAAGTTTGCGGCGAGGTTCAGAAACCACTATCTATCTAGGTTGCAACCCCCGCGGCCTCTTGGTGTTGAAGAAATTCGTTCCCTTCATTTGAAAATGGGCCTTGTGCAAGGCCCTATCTTCAACATGGAGCGACCGTTAGTGTGACGTCACCTCGTTTAGTCATGCTGATTTAAATGGGTTTGTTCGTTGAAAAATCGCTTAAAACTTGGTCTGAACTTTGTTGTGGTGCCTACAGAGTAAAAAGAATCAGCTTTATGACAGTAATGTGGCCTGGGGAAGGAGGTAATTTTGGGCTGTGACGTCACCAGGCATCGGTAGGATTGTGATTGCAGGATTGCAAAATCCTGATTGCATTCCTTTTTGGTGGATTGCACCTGGATTTGAAATCCATTCCAAAAAACAGGATTTGATTGCGGATTGGATTGCATCATACGTCCAATTTTTGCAATCCAATCCGGATTGCAATCCTTTCTTGGGGCAATTAGTCGTGTCTGATATTTTCCCGATCTTAATAGGCCTAAAATGATGTGCAGCCGCTAAGTTGTGCAATGTGCATCGACGGAACTAACTAGAGTACTGCCGGCTGCCATAGACACAAATTATCCCAGTCTCAACTTCAAGGCAAAGTTGGCGCTGCGCTGCTTGCATGACAACACGGGGCCGGGCGAGAGGCGAGAACTACGCCACGTTAAATGGCGGATCCAGAGAGAGAGAGACAGAGGGGGGGACATAGAGAAAAGTGAAGAAGGTGCGTATTATACCTGTTTGCCCATATTTCCATACACTATGGAACATGTCGAGGTGAGAATAGGTAAGCCCCTGGTTTAAGAAAACAAGACCGCCATATAATGACGTACACGGAGCGCTTTCTTTGTACGCCCCTGGCCAACAATGGAAGCGCGCGCAGAAAAGCGACGGGGATTCCCCCCCCCCCCCGACAGCTTCTCGTGTGACTGACGGCGCAGCTCCGGGCGGGGGCGGCACAGTTTCGCAACCGAGAAGGGCTGGTCCGGGTGGTCCGTTGTGTGTCGCTGACGTGCCGTGTTACAAACTGTGACAGTTTTGAAATGGCTTCAGAGGAACAGGAAAAGTATAAGCGTATTGATTCTTTCTTTAAATTGGTGGAAGTTACAAATGACAAAGACGAAGTTTCCAAAAACTTGCTGTTTTCGTGCCTGCGGTGCCCTGGAACGAAAACTATCTCGGCATCCAGCAGAGCTCTGTCTAATCTAACGCGACATGTAAAGAGAAAGCATGAAGGTAACATGCAAGAATATCTGAACCTGTTGAAAGCGAAAGAAGGACCATCCAAACCGAAACAAGCCAAGCTTGACGCCTTCGTTGCCGGAGAAGGGTCGTCACAGGCTGCGTTCGTGACACAACAGTCCCTCGACAAAAAGGTGGTGCGCTTCGTAGTGCAAGAGGCGATGCCTTTCAGCATCGTTGAAAGTGAATCCTTCAGAGATCTAGTGCTGGCAGGCCTTCCTGGGAAGAGAGTAATGAGCGTGAAAACCATGAAGGAGCGTTTAACAGCAGCGTTTCAGGAAATGAAGAAATCCATGACGTCAGAGATGGCGTCAGTGGATCACATCGCAGTCACAGCTGACTGCTGGACGGCTACTAGCAGATCCTATCTCGGAATGACCGCCCACTGGCTGAAAGCTGACCTGGAACGAAAGTCTGTAGTGTTGGCCTGCAAACGGATCATCGGGAAGCATACGTATGACAAGCTCGCCAGCGCCATGGAGGAAGTCCTCAAGGAGTACTCCATTCAGAACAAGGTGACGGCCGTCACAACGGACAGCGGATCAAACTTCGTCAAGGCGTTCCGTCTCTTCCAGGTAAGAAGCTAATTCTGCCAAATGTTGAATTTGGGATAGGTTGATTTAGGAAACAGAGAGCTGGGCCTAAATCGACTTTTATCTGCCTGGAAAAGGAGAAAAGGGAGAACTTGGTCATCTGGCCGCTTTTTTGTTCTGTCAAAATTGTGAAAAAAACTGACATTCTTCCATCGATTTCTCAATGGGAGCATGTGGTACTTCCAAATTTTGGTACCACAATGGCCACACTACCACATTGTGGAAGTGTGGTAGGTACATTCAGTTGTTCTCCCGGCATGTGGATTTCATTAACCTGGCTAAATTCATTCCAGCAGTAATGCTTGTAGGTAGGTACCGTTTTTTTATGTAAGGTCTGAAAGGTGGTCAAATGACCCCGCTGCCTACTCCGGTCATTTGGCCGGGGCCGTGGGATTGGTGTCACTTGGCCTCCCCCCGTGATCTCCGAAAATACTGGGTCGATTTATGAAATTCAAATGACATTCGATACCTCTGTGAAAGGTCTCTCTGAATACCTAGTCAGAAAAAAGGATATTGATGACATTGATGACGTTATAGACCAGTTAAAAATAACATTTCGTAAACTCTTAGAATGCTTTTACCTACCAACCCATAAGTCGGTCTGAGGACCCGGGCTAAGTCAATGCCACGTCAGGCTGGTGATTTAACCCTCGCCCGTATTGGTGTTTTTCCAGCCGCGAACGTATAAGGGGGGGGGGGGGTCCGTTGGACCCCCCCCCTTGCCGTTTCGCCCCTGATCGAGCTAGAGCTTCGCGGAAAAAACGAGCGTGTTGCCCGTGACGAGAGGAAGCCGATGATACCCAATTTTAAGGTCCTAGGTCATTGGTTGACCTTGCAGGTCAGGTCAATGACCCAAAAGTCGGGAAAATCGGGACCTGTTAGAACGTCGTAAAGTGTGGCTGCTATGGGGTTTTTCGGGGTGCTGATCACGAATATCATGTTAGTTTTGATCACAAATGATGTCTTCATGCATTTAGGCCGGGTCGGGTCAGGTCAGGTCAGGTCAACCAGTAAGGGTGTTCGTAGTAGGTGGCAACCGCCTCTGACAGCTTCGTAACATGTTACGAAGGCACCAAAACTACTTCGTAAATGTTCATATGGTTGCTAAATTCGAATTCAGCTCTAAAAACTGGCCTAGAAACATGTAAAACTCGAAAAAGTGAACCGAGGTCATCAAAGGTCAATGACCTGACCTGACCTTCAGGTGACCTTGACACCCACCCTAATGCATGGGGGCAACATCATATCACATGTTTGAACGCTTGAAACCACGAAGACTGCAAACGCGCGGCTAATGCGAGCCGACATACGCCGAATCGCGATTCCGGCCAAACATGGTCTCGAAAAGTAGGTCACAGGTCAAAGGTCATTTGGGTCAGGGTCATGAAATTTTCAGGGTAGGTGTAAAATTGATGAACGCGAGGGTACTGAAAGTTTCGTCACGATCGGCCGCTCTTTACGCGAGTTATTCGCGAAAAACCATGGGGGGGGGGGGTCCGTTCGACCCCCCCCCCTATACGGGCGAGGGCTAACCTGACTTCAATATCGCAAATTAAAAAAAAAACTGATGACGTCATACGTCACCGATCTGGCATGGCAGCGGCTTGACTCGGGTATCCAAGGACCGGTCAATGTGCTGGAAATAACATAACTACTTTTAAGCGTTCAGTTGGCTGGAGTTATTTATTCCTATTTCCTGAGTTATTCAAGAGAATTCTAACAGACGAACACAGACGTCACCCCATTGCAAATTGAAATATGTACATACATGGCGCAATGGGAAAACGAAAAATCGCCATCCGCCACCTCTAAATTTGCTTCGAATGAGCTCAAACTTAATCCACGGCGTTTTCTCATCGTCCCGCAGTATCCGACCAAGGAAGAGTCGAAAATTTAACTTTCATTTTTTGGCACCCTTCTGCGGATACCTATATGCACTTATCTACATGTGCCCCCGGCTTGCTACCCCACCCCCTAAAAATGGACCTGCCCCTGCTGTTGAGTGAACATTTTCCCCAATGCCACAATGTCGCTATATTGTGTATCACACTAATTTCTAACGTTATGTAATGTACATATGTAATCTAATGTAATGTACACTATTCCTTTGGCCATTCATAACTACGCCGGCGAATATGGTGAAAAACGCGCAACTCTTACACCTGAATGGGGTTCGTGATCACATCACATGACATTAATGCGGTTTGCAGGTGGTCGACGCTGAGCCGGAAGATGGTGACGCTGACGAACATGATCAAGTGGACATAATCGACGTGGCCGATATGCTGCAAGAAGCCGCCGATGACGATCAGCTGTTCCGACTCCCGCCTCACCAGCGCTGTGCCGCGCACACAATGAATCTCGTGGCGAACGACTCAGAAAAAGCGTCGGCGAACAGCAGATTCAACAAGGTAACGCGATCAGCGATGGGGAAGTGTCAGGCGCTCTGGAACAAACAGAGACGTAGTTCCACGAGTGCGGACATCATCCGTGAGACATGCGGGCGGCTGTTCGTGGTCCCCTGCGCCACTCGGTGGAACAGTCTGTACTACGCCCTGCAGCGGGTGCAAGACATCATGGCTAAGTCAGCGCCAGCGGATAACCTGGATGGGTTGATGGACAAACTGGGTCTCCCACGGTTCACGCAGGTGGAAATCGCGTTTATCGCCGAATACGTCAAGGTCATGAAGCCAGTAGCACAGGCACTGAACATCCTGCAAGGCCAGAAGAACAGTTACCTGGGCTTCGTTCTGCCCACGGTTGCACAGCTGCAGAAGGTGTTGGATGCGCAAGTGCACGACCTACGTATCTGCGCCCCCCTGGTAGATGCACTCCTACTTTCTCTGAAGAGGCGCTTCGGACCCAAGTTCGACGACGACCAGCACATCCTGGCCGCTGCCGTCCACCCGCGTTTCAAGCTGACGTGGACGGATGATGAAGTGGTTCGGACGCGTGCCAAGCGGCTCCTACAGGACGGTATTTCACAGATTCAGCTCATGGAAGTGGAAGAAGCAGCTGGTGAAACCCAGGGTGATGCTGATGTGGACGATCCTGATGTGGACTTATTCTTTCCACGACCATGCTCATCCACGCGTGAGTCTGTGGAGGAGGTTGTTGATACGCACCTCCACGGACGCGGCAGTACCCTCCGAGATCTCCACGAAACTGTGGAGAAACTGTTCCGCAAGGTAAACACCACGCTCCCATCCTCCGCCGCAGTGGAGCGCCTGTTTTCGCACGGAGCAGGAATATTCAAGAAGAACCGGTATAGGCTGAATGACGACACATTCGAGATGCAGCTGATGCTGAAGCTCAACACAACGTAGTGTGGTCGGCAGTGGTCGGAGAGGACAGCCAGAGATGGTTGACTTGCAGTTATAGCCAAGTGTGTCAAATACATTCACGATTTGACGAAAGAAATGTGTTTTGGTGTTTGATAAGTGCTTTGAAATGGTTTGTTGCGATTGAAAATTATGAGATCGGCTTCATCGGCTTAATGTACTTTGCTATCAAGGGCTTTACATCGAAACTTGAAATAATTTAAACGCTTTTAATTTAAACGCTCAAAATAATATACGCTGATGAACTACATAGGAAAGGCAAAATTACGTATTTGAGGGCGAGTTTTAAAAATATAAAACACTGGTTGGGTAAAGGTTTAAATGTGGGGGTGTTTGAGGCAAAAAATATTTTCCATAAAATACCTGTGCATTAGATAGGAATTACTCGCAAGACTAGGTACTAGAAATGGGTGATTTGGGGATGGAGGCACGGCCCTATGCCCCCCTCCCTCCCCCAGATCCACTAGTGCACATAATAATACAACAGGATTGCAAAAAAGGATTGCGGATTTGATCACAATCCAAGTGAAAAAAGGAGATTGCGGGTAGGAATGCAATCCACTTCGGCACTAGGAATGTGGATTGGGAATGCAATCCTTTCAAAAAGGATTTTACCGATGCCTGGACGTCACATATTTGAAAGTTTGTGTTTGGAATATGGGAAGCCTAAGATGTTTAACCCATTAGATAGGGTAAGGTGCCTAATTAGCGACCCCCTTAATTTGAACCGTCATTGCTCACGCTCTGTGGGTGGCACTGTATTACTGGCTTGATTTTCGGAGAGATCGTTCATTTTTCTATTAAAATATTGTCATTTTCTGTCCCAATATTCACTAACTTATTTGTAGTGAGCATTTTGGCAACACATTGCAAAAAACGCTAATAGGGAACTCTTCCCGATTAGCGACCGGGGAGCGGTCGCTAATAAGTCTATGGGTTTACCCATATTAAAAATGGCAAAAAATGCGACGCCTGAAAAGATGAAATATGATCTCAAAAAGGTAACCTATTCGCAAAGCACTCAATCACTCGAACAGGGACGTTTATCCAACACATTTACGTAAGTAAAAGCTGATCACGTGATGCACCGAATGCGAAAAGAAGGCGGAAACCCAAATTTTGCGGGCTATCTCGTATGATATTCGAGGTTCGCGCTGAATTCGGCACCCCTGCAGTCGGTGACGACATTTGGCATCCCCTGCCACACATTGCAAGCTTCAGCAACACCTCATTTTCATTTCTCTCTTTCCCCTTTCTTTCCCTTCTTGAGCTATTTGCGACCATGTCAGGCGCAAATAGGAAATATGAGTTGCGACACATTTTTAACCGCCATGCTGTGCACAGTTGAGCGATTCACTATGGGAAAACGGCAATCAATTGAAAAAGGAATGTCAATTCAGAATAAAAAAGGTGCATCATCCTAATGTGCATCGCTTTTCATCAGAGAGGGCCCAAACACACACGTTTTGGATAAGAAACTCGTTATTTTCATTTAAACTCACCTGAAACGTCCCACCAGAAACATCGACGACCGGAAAATAATTTAATTTGATAACCAAAGTATGGCTGACCTTTTGACGATGTTTTTACCCCGTTTTATCCTGCCAGTTTTTCTGTAGGGAGGTAGGTCGCAAATCGGAAAGGGTCGCTAATTAGGCACCTTACCCTACGCTTGGCAGCTTTTGCTGCCACAGGGCAAAATAGCGCCGCATTCCTAAACGTTGCGGTGAACTTTCAAAGTTCTCACCCGAACGGAAGACCAAAACAATGCACGTCATGTGCGCTCCGAATTATTGATCGAGAAAGCGAATGGGTTGAGAAATAAACAATTTATCGCGGGGGTGCGAGGGGCGCGCGATGGCGGCCGTGTGGCGGACACCAAAGAAGTCAGTTGCGAAGGTGGTGTGAATAAATGTTACCTTTTTATTATTGATTATTGTAAAGAAATATGTGATTATCAATGGGAAGAGCTTAGGTGCGACATGAATTTCTCTAAGCATCGCCAATCGTGCGTTATATTTAAGTGGCAGCAAAAGCTGCCAACCGTATCTTACCTACGTAGTCAAAAATGGAGCAGTTACGTCCTTTTTGCTATGCCATTCGTAAGTGAGCAACAATGTCTGGCTTTATGGCTCATAGTGTAATGCCCCAGTTCTTTGCCTTTCCAAAAATGGTCATTACCAGGGTTTCTGCTATTTATTCTTGTCTGCAGAACATTGCATACCAACACACTACCAGGCGTGTAATGTATTCCGCCATTGCTAAAGCAGGGACGTTGAACGGAGTGGTGCGGACAAACTGTCATCAGAGGCGCCATCCCTCAAGGGGCGCGCCGTCGCCTAAGGGAAGGTGGTGCCGTGGCTCTATAGATGAACGGGAAGAGGGGCGCCTGCTAGGCCTGTTGGGGCGCATTTGAGGCCTAACTATGGGGTCGCCCCCGCCCCCCCGCCCCGCTCCCGCCCCCCGTGCAAAAGAGGGGCGCCTACGAAGGTCATGGCCATAATGGCGCATCTGCACGAAAGAGGGGCGCCTGCATGCCGAAGAGGGGCGCCTATGAAGCCCAATGGGGCGCCTCTACGAGAAAGAGGGACACCTGTAAGGTCTATAGGGGTGCATGCAATGTCCATAGGGCACCTTTATGCGAAAGAGGGGCGCATTGCATATGAAAAAGAGGCGCATTGCACAAGAAAGAGGGGCGCCTCTGAGACCTACAGGGGCGCCTTTGATGACCAAATGGGCGCTTACATGGGAAAGAGAGGTGCCTATAAAGCTTAAAGGGACGTCCTCCATGTGAAAAAGGGGCGCCTGGGACTTGAGCGCCCTTTCGAGCTGTCCGAGGTCGCCGGAAAGTTTGCATATGTCCAGCTCCTGCTGCACTATCCTCCAAAATAATTCGATTGTAGTTAGGCCAGGACTGTTCCCTAGCCAAGTGTCCTTCCCCCAGATATCGGACAGATGGTCCTGGCACCGCCTAGTTCCGGAAGATCGATGAGATGGAGTACCTACCGTCCAGCATGAAAATGCTGTCCGACCTGCAGGACACCATGCGCCGTTGGAGCACGGGGTAGTGGTCTTTTAATGTCAAATGCATGCTTTTTCAGTATGTTTTCTAGGTAGTAGTCGGGATCGACTTCGTCTTTTGCTAGATCACGTCCAGCTGGTTCAGCTCAGGCCCTGCTAGGACATCGTGATCGTTCGACATACCATTGCGGCGAGAATTTTTCGCAGAAGTCTGTCGGAACTTGGGCCGCGTTTTCAGCCCATGCTCGTTTTGGGGGTCCGTGTGGTGAAACCATTGAAACGGAGACTCGTCGCCGAACTAGACCCGCTTCTACATACCTACTCCGTTTCCACTCTTCTACCGGCCAGATTCTCCGTTTCGTGCAAATCTGAGGGCTCTGGGCTTGCTGATTTTCGTTATTTTGGCCGCACCAATAGTCAAGCGCCTTCAGTCCAAGGGCGTTCCTCCCTTATCAATGGACAACATTATCCGAGTGATCATTATGAATAAGAATTCAGATTCTCCGCAAAATGGTCAGACTTCCCAGGTGCTTTCTTCATGACAATCTTGGCGACGGTTGAGACGCAGGAGGACCATGCTGGTTGGGGCTTATGCGTGACGCTACTTGTCCCTAAACTTCTTCCACCAGCGCTTGTTGGTGAAAACGGGGGCTTAGAAGTGTGAGGCAGCGTCCTTCCATGTGTTGCCACTTGCCAGCTTGGAGCATGCCAACAGCGCAACTACGAACCTCTCAACTGTAAAGCTAAACCGTCATGCTTAGACGTTCAGTAAATGCGCCGTTCAATGGTTAAACAATTACCCATGCCAGTGACCCCCATTGGTAAAGGTCAGCTTTTCAGATAATCTCCGCTTCAGAGAAAGACTCAGGGACACAATGCGTTGAAAGGAACGCGATATTTAGGAGCACATTGGAAACACGCCAAGCTGCTTTAAATACGAGTAAACGGTCGACGGAAGTCATCAAAACCTTCGTCGCATCCTATATAAGATGTTGTGGGGAGGGGAAGCGCGTGTGAGCTGAAATAATGAGAGAAATAACATGATCTCTCAGAACGAGCTGAACTGTTAGCTGAGGTCTGGATTTTGAGTTCATTATACTTGAGAATTATTGGCTCAACGGTCGTTATTTGCAGGCTACGGTCGAATGGAATTTCGAACAATTACACATATTTAAGATCATATCTGGTACGTAAATAAAATAGTTCGTGAAAATTGTACATGCACCAACAGGAGACACTCTGTGGCAAAGGTTGTTGGTATCGAAAGATCATTTCCTCGCGGTTTTGATATGTTTGTGCTTTGAAATGTGACAAACCACTCCATTTTTGACTATGTAAGATACGCTTGGCAGCAAAAGCTGCCAGACCGGAAACGTACACTTCCGGTTTCGTGATCTGGCTAAAAATGCACATGTATTCTCCTAAAGGGTGCCTGACAAACATATGTTAAAATCGCAGTGAAAGTCGACAAAAAAAGTTTTCGGCTCTAATGGTTTAATGAAGAATAAATGCCAGAACCGTGTTCCTGGTCATCCAATCTATAAAGTCGGGCACAATTTAACTGGTTTTAACAACATTTTAGAAGGTGGGATAGTCCCTTGAACCCGCGACCTGGTGGGGGGGGGGGGCTATTTTTTGCCCCCCCCCCCTCCAGACTTTTCGATATATCTCCAGAACCGCTGCGCCGATCGTCACCAAACTTTCAGTACCCTCCCGGACATCAATTTTACACATTGTTACTAAAATTTTTCCAAAGGCTATGATAGGTTGGCCGGAAATGACGTCAGAGTGACGTCATGTTCTGCCGTTTTCGACCCAAAAAAGGGTTTCGCGGGAAGAGCTGCCAGGCCTATAGCTTTGCAAATACAGAAAAATGATAAGGATATAAAAGCTGTAGAATCAACAGGGCTACAAAACAGTTATCTCGGATTTTTGAAATTTTTGGATGTGGACCCCCAAAAATCAAAAAATAATTTTTTTTGGATATAATACCAGAAAAATCCAAAAAGTTTTTTGAATTTCGCAAAAACCGGAATATATGTGATAGTCCTTACCGCCTTCCATCCACATACCAAATTTGAGATTGA